CGGCTTTTGAAGAAGGCGCTGGAGGGCGGCGGTGGCACAGGCGGCTCCGGCGGCGCAGCACGAGGTGACGAAGTTTGCGCGCCACGGTCGCCGGCCTGGACCAATCGAATTTCTCCACAGGCGCCGCCGGCGCTGGCAGCGCGAGATGTCGACGTGATGGCGCTCCGACCGGCCCAAACTTGGTGAGAGTCGAGTACTACCTTGGGTGCGACGCTCTGCAAAGTTTCATCGCGCGAGCGCGTCGTGCGGGCGCGCGCGGCTGGGAGCGAGATCGTCGCCCGAGGCCGGGAGGGCTCGGTCCTGGGCTCCAGCACGCGCGCACCGGTAGAAATCGACACCTCAGCCGTTTTCGCGTCGGTTGATACATTGGCCACGCTGTCGCGAACCACTTTTGGGTGCCCGCTTTCGCATTCGCCGACACGCGGTCGATGCGCGGCGCCTGCGCGACGGATTCCCGAAAACGCGCACCGCGGTGTGGTTCTGGCCGCAGGCGATGATCTGGATGTAGTCGAAGGCGGTGGGCATATGGTTCGTGCCCTCCAAGGCTTTGAAGTTGGTGTGTGCTGCGATATCGGCGTGCCAGAGCTAGTTTTGGACCAGCTGCTCCCAAACGATTCGTTTCGGGGCCAAACGCAGCGTTTCGCGTCGACCGATCACCGTCGCTGCGTTCCGCCGGGCGGATCGACATCATAGAGCTCCTACGTGATGCTCTACGTCGTCTTCGACACCCAGAAGATGCCCGACACTCGCCGAAGGCGCCTCGGCCGAAACCGGCGGATGGTCGCCGCGGGCCAGTGCGGCCGCGTCTGGGCTTTCCTCGAGGTGTCTGCGGTCCGTGCGCCCGACGGGGGTCCCGATGGCTTCTCCTGAGCGCCAGGTTGCTGCAGAGAGTACCGTGGGCCGCGTTTAGGGGGCCAACCACCTGATTTCCACCTTAGAGCACTCCTTGGCACGCCCTATTCAGCGCCCGCGCGCCCCGCTGACTCGCACTGAACAAATCGATTTCAAATCGACGCTAGTCGCTTCCACAGTTGTCCCGAAAGAAGTCAAGAGAGACATCTTGGAGTGCGTTTAGGTGAAATTCAGGTGTTTTGGACCCCTAAACGCGATCCACGGTACTCTCTGCAGCAACCTGGCGCTCAGGAGAAGCCGTCGGGACCCCTGTCGGGCGCACGGACCGCAGACACCTCGAGCAAAGCCCAGACGCGGCCGCACTGGGCCGCGGCGACCATCCGCCGGTTTCAGCCAAGGCGGCTCGGCGCGTGCGGGACGCCTTGCGGTCGCCGACGACCGCGTAGAGCTTCACGCAGGAGCTCTATGATGTCGACCGCCCGGCGGAACGCAGCGACGGTGATCGGTCCGCACGAAACGCTGCATGCAGCACCGAAAACCCTCCGATATAGGCAATGTCGAGATTTCCAGGCGGCAGAACAGCTCCAAAAGCGCTTCGCCGCGAACCAGAACCCGTCCAGGGGGTCCGCCGATACGTTCCGCGAGTACGGCAAGCTTTGGTACGGCGAGCGCAGCGCCTACAGCCCGAACACATGCGCTCGGGCGCTCGTCGGGAACGCGCCCGAGCGCCTGAAATCGGGTGTCCGGAATCGCACGCTCGACACCCGGAGTAAGCGTTGACGCGTTCAACACCATGCAAGGAACGTAATCGAAGAGGAGGTGTCGTTCTTTAGCGCAAAATCACGATTTCCAGCGGCCGCAGCCTTGCCCGCGCGCGAAGACGCCGACCGTTACTCGTCTTCCAGCCGTCGTCGCAGCGAAAAAACGCGCAGGCGCCGCCAGACAAGGACTGTGCCCGAGCGCGTGGGTTCCCCGCGGCCCGGGGAAGAAAACTGACAGCGGCGCGACGTGATTAAGTCCAGAGACGTTCCCATCGTTTCGTCTGGCTGATCTTTTGTCCGCCAGCGACCGTGGCGCGGAGCCGATTTGAGCACAGCTCGAGTAAGACTTTGGCGAGTGCGCTACATTGCAGTCGATGTTGCCCTAGCTGCCCCCCCCCATCGAGAGAATCTGATCTAATCGAGAGCGCTCTCCGACCGCGCCGCTGCCTAGCTGAGCGCTACCCGGATCTAATCGAGAGCGCTCTCCGACCGCGCCGCTGCCTAGCTGATCACTCCTCCGACCGCGCCGTCGACGCCACAGCCAATGGTCTGCACCTCCGGCAAGTGCGGCAGCCGGCCCGAACACATGCTGCCGCGCGAGCTGCTCGTCGCGTCGTTTTTTGCCCAGTCCGTCGTCGTTTTCGCGAGCAACGGCGGCTATCTGGGAGGCCTCACCAACGTCGAGGTCGGCGAGAAATACAGGACGCTCTTCATGCCCGCGGGCTGGGCCTTCGCCATCTGGGGTCTGATCTACGCCTGGGAGCTCGCGGCCTACGGGAGCGCGTTCTTCGATCCGCACCCGTCGCCGCAGCTCGAGGCCGCGGCGGTCTACCTCATCGCCGCGAACGCGTCGCAGCTCCTCTGGGCCGTCGCCTTCTGCCGGGAGTGGCTCCGGGCGAGCTGTTTTTTTATCTCCTGCATCGCCGCGGCGCTCGTCCTGGCCGCGGAGGAGTTGCGCGGCGGGCCCGACGCGCGGACCTTCGGCTACGTCACGAGCCTCCACGGCGGCTGGGTCCTCGCGGCGACGCTGCTCAACGCGAATCTCGTCGCGGCCCGCGACGGCGGCGAGAGCGTCCAGCTGGCCGCGGCGTTCGCCTCCGCCTACGCGGCGCTCGCGCCCGGCGCCGTCGCCTGCGCGACGCGCGGCGACGCCGCCTTCGCGCTGGCGATCGCCTGGGCGCTCGTCGCCGTCGGCGCCGAGGTCGCCGACGGCGAGGACGCGGTGCGCGGCGCGCTCCGGCTCACGGCCTTCGGCGTCGCCGGCGCGCTGCTGTGGCTCGCGGCGAGCGCGGTCCTCTTCGACTACGTCGAGGGCTGGCACGACGAGCTTTAGTCTTAGGGTACCACAGTCATTCACAGCTCCGCGGGCCGGCCCTTCGCGAGGCCGAGCGCGGCGGACAGGTCCTCGACGCGCGCGAAGCGCGCGAACCCGAGGCGCTGCGCGGCCCAGTCGAGGTGCGGCGGCACGATGCCCTGGAGCCACATGAAGTAGAAGCTCGCGAGGGCGACGCCGAGCATGAGCGTGCCCATGGACTTTTGCCGCTCCAACTCCGCGACGCGCTCGGCCTCGCACTCCTCGGCGGCGGCGGCCATCTGCTCCTCGGAGAGCTCGCAGACCTTGGCCATGCCCTCGGCGCCGAGCGCCGCGACGGCCTCGGGCCGCACCATCGCTGTGGGAGCGTGCGCGGGCGGCTAGGGGGCACAGATGCGGCGGGCTGAATCGATGCCCAGGCGTGTGCGACGTCTCGCTGAATGGTGCCGACACGATGCTGTGGCAAAGAAGTGATGGACGCACTCGCCTAGAAGTTTGCGCCGCAACGCAGCACATCAATGGTCTCACCACGCCGCACCGCCGCGCTGCTCTGCCTCGCCGCCGCCGCAGCGCTCGCGCCGATCGCGGCGCCCGCGGCGCCGACCCGGCCCGTGGCGAAGGTCCTCGAGCGGGGCGAGAAGTACGCCGTGCTCTACAAGCCCGGCGGCGTGCCGTGCCACGCGTCGGACTACGTCGGCCGGTCGGGCCTCGACGAGTACCCGCTGCTGCAGCGCGGCCGCGACGCGCTGGGCCGGCGCATCAACCTCGTGCACCGCCTCGATCGCGGCGCGTCGGGCTGCGTGCTCTGCGCCTACGGCGACGACGACGACCCCGTGACGGGCGCGCTCCACGCGGCGCTCGCGGGCGCGCGCAAGACCTACGTGGCGCTGACGCGCGGCGAGGGCTACCTCGGCGGCCGCGACTTCAAGGCGGAGGGCTGGTTCACCGTCGAGCGGGCCATCAAGAACGAGCGGGGCACCGCGAAGAACGCGACGACGGACTTCCGCTGGGTCGCGTCGACGGGCGCGGCCGACGGCGCGCGCGCGTCGCTCGTCGTCGCGCGCCCGAGGACGGGCCGCTGGCACCAGATCCGCCGCCACCTCAACGGCCTGAGCCACCCGATCCTCGGCGACTCGTCGCACGGCAACACGCGCGAGAACCGGCTCTGGCGCACGGAGCGCGGCTTCCCCGGCGCGCGCCTCGCGCTGCACCTCTGCCGCCTCGAGGTCCCGGCGACGGCGTACACGCCGGCCGTCGACGTGTCCTGCCCCCTGCCCGCGGACCTGCGCTGGGCGGTCCAGACGCACATGGGCGGCGTCCTCGCCGAGTCGCGGGCCTTCCTCGCGGCCGAGGCGAAGATCGACCTGGCCGTCGACGCCGCCTTTACGTCCGCGCCGCCGGAGCCGGAGGAGCCGCCGCCGGCCATGCGCCCGAAGAGGCGGCGAGCGTAGTTACCCAGGCTTCCGAATAGAGCGCAGTTACCTTCCGAATATGCGGACTCCTAGACTCGAGCGGCGATAACGACGGGCGGACTAGCACGAGTCGACGCAGGCGTCCGCGGCGAGGACCTTGTCCTCGCCCTTGACGAGGCAGCGCGCGTCGGGCCAGGCGGCGACCCACTGGCACGTCTTCGTCGGGTCGCCGCGCTTGTACCAGGAGCTGCTGTCACCGCACGTCGTGCCGCAGGCCGCCGGGCACGCGTAGGACGCGAGGCTCTTGCCCAGGTGGCCGTCCTCCTCGCCCTTGACGGCGCAGCGCGCGGCGTAGTTCGCGACCCACGCGCAGTCCTTGGCCGGCGCGCCGATCTTGTGCCAGAGGGCCGAGTCGACGCAGCCGCCGTCCACGGACCGCGCCATGGCGTCGTCGACGGTCGTCGTCGTGTAGGCCATGCCGTCGTCGACGGCCGGCGTCGCCTCGTCGCACGTCGACGGGCACGACCCGTAGCCGTCGCGGTCGTCGTCGTCCTCGACGGGGCAGCCGTTCTCGCAGCTGTCGCCTGTGTGGAAATCAACCAGTGAGCTGGGACGTCGGGGCCAAACTTGAGAATTCTCTAACTCGGTCAAATCGAAGTCGATTCGGCTGATTTTTGGACGAATCGATTGCTCTCGTCAAGTTCTCGAAGCACGGCAGAAGAGTCTGATCATAGCCGTTAGAATACGCGCAAATTGAAGTCGAGTTGAATATTTGAATTCGGCACAGGCTGTCGCAGTCCTGCCAGCCCGGGCCGTCGCAACTCGCGCAGTACTTCGAGCACTCGCCGTCGTACTCGGCGTAGGAGTAGGAGTAGGACCCGCCGGCGCACGAATCCTCCGCCCACATGGCCTCGTCCTCCGTGCACGATAGGCCGCAGCGGCCCGCGAGGAAGACGTCGCAGTCGTTGTCGCAGTCGTCGAGGCACGCCGGCACGTCGTCGTAGGAATACGAGTAGGACCCGCCGCCGCCGCTGCACATCTCCAGCACCAGCGCGTACTCGTCCTCCGTGCACGTCGTGCCGCATTCGCCGTCGAAGAAGTTCTGGCAGTCCTCGTCGCAGTCGTCGGCGCACGCGTAGGCGGTGCAGATCGCGAGCTCCGCCGTCGTCTCCTCGTCGCAGTCCTGGACGCAGTCGTCGTCCGGGTCGTAGTACTCGCACAAGTCGTAGGAGTAGGAGTACTGGAGCCAGGCGCAGTCCGCGAGGCAATTGTAGCCCGCGGTGCACGCCTCCGTGAGCCAGTCGACGACGTCTTCGGTGCAGTCCGACGAACAGTCCTCCTCGCTGTCGAAGGAGACGCACACGTTGACGTCGTCCCCCTGGACCCAGTCGCAGTCGAAGATGCAGCCGAGGTCCACGTCCGCCTCGTCGAGCCGCCGGTCCCGGAGGTTGAGCGCGCCTTCGGTGGCACCAAGGAGCAGCGCGAGGGCAGCGGCACGCGCCATCGTGCCCGCTCTAATATTTACAGTAATTTTTACGGCGCGTCATTGAAGGTCGCTTGAAGGCTTGCTGAAGCAGAGCACTCAGAGGGGGCCGACCACCAGGCATACACCAGCCGGGCATACACCGGCATAGCAGCCGCATAGCAGCCGCATAGCGGACGCATAGCGGACGCATAGCGGACGCATAGCAGCCGCATACCACCCGCATAGCAGGCGCATAGCAGGCGCATAGTAGACGCATAGCAGGCGCATAGTAGACGCATAGTAGACGCATAGTAGACGCATAGTAGGCGCATAGCAGACGCATAGCAGGCGCATAAGACCAGCATAGCAGGCGCATACCACCAGCATAGCAGCCCGGCGACCGCTGTCGACGACCCCAGGCGACGGCCGCCGGAGGTCGCCGCATAGCAGGCGCATACCACCAGCATAGCAGCCGCATACAACCCGCATACGACCAGCATAAAACCCGCATACCACCCGCATACCACCCGCATACCACCCGCATACCACCCGCATACCACCCGCATACCACCCGCATACCACCCGCATACGACCAGCATAGCAGCCGCATACCACCCG